GAAGTTATCCGCAAGCGACTTCTGATCGATGGCGATGGTGCTGGTGACGACAGGCGGATCAATTTGTTGGTGAAGAGTTTCATTAAGTGGTGCAATTCCGGATCTCAAGAGGAAGGGTATTTATCTTCTCTTTGTTTGTTTGTGTTTTGTTGTTTTGGGTTTTTTTGCTTTAAGTCGTGGAACCGATTAGCTTCGCACTTCAGTGGAAAACTGGGTTTGATGCTGTCGGGAAAGATCCGCGTTAAATGCACAGATGAGGTGCTCAGCAGGGCTCTGTGGTGTTCCCAGCACAGACACCGAGCACTGGGGTAGGAGACGAGGACTAGAGAGGGGTCAGAAATCCCTGAAGGCTCTATCATGAAATCTGCCCTCGGGATCCTTGTGCCGCCGTATGATCCGTCCGGGAGTCTCGCTATTCCCAACAGGATCAGGGCTCCAAGATTCTAGTTGCCAGGTCTGCATGTGTTCTGTTAGGGAAGGGTAGCACTGCTGGTGTTTCTACTGCTGCGGTTCTCATTTTCTTTTTTAAAAAAAACCCCCAGGCTAAAGTAGTAAGGGAGGAGCGACAACGTGTCGTTCTGCTGTGGGGTGCTAGATGGAAATTCCTGGAGGACGGAATATAACGATTGTGTGCACAGAGAAGCAGAGCAGTATTGAAACATTAATCTCAGCGCTCACAGAGCCAGCCCTAGCTGGGAAGTGTATCAGCCCAGGATCAATCTGCCCGTTGCTTCAGTCCTCACTTCACACCTATTAAGGACATGATCGTGAGATGAATGGGGGCAGCACTTCTAAAAAATTATACATTGAACCTTTGAAATATTTTCTCTGTTTAATAAGTGTTATTTAACTGTCCTTTGTGCTGCATGAGGCTTTGTTTTCTTGTTTTGTGAAAGTAGAGAGTATTTTTATGCTGCTTAAGAGTAAACATATTGTCTGTTTTCAGTTACAGCCAGTACCAACGAATGCTGAGCACTCTGTCACAGTGTGAATTTTCAATGGGAAAAACTCTTCTGGTGTATGATATGAACCTGAGAGAAATGGAGAATTATGAAAAAATCTATAAGGATATAGGTAAAGATGAGAAAATATTCCTGGCTTCAGTCTGACAGTTTCTCTTTTATGAGCAAGCTTAAGCCAGTTCTGGTGAACATAATATATACATATGATGAGTGGTTTGATGGTGGTTTGTTTTTTTTTTTTTACTTAACAGATAGCACTCATACATCTGCTCTAAGCATCTTATCAGTGTATAAATTACAAACAAATAAAAGCTTTTTTAACCCATGGAAGTGTATGTAGCTTTGAAGGTGACAGAGCTAGCAAGCCACCATGTCACAAATAATTCTTTTTTTTTTTAATTCAGCAGAATGGCTTATTTACATGTGTTGTTTGATTGTAATACAATTCTGTATACTTTTTCTTTTTTGAAGAAAACAGCATAGCTGCAGCACATGAGAAGATTTCTGAGTGCAAAAAACAAATCCTGCAAGCAAAAAGGATTCGAAAAAATCGCCAGGGTAAGGAGCACTACCCGTGTTTACATTGATTGGTTTCATGGTTTTGTTACCTTTTAAAATACATTGTATTGGAAAATAGATTCAAAATTTTTTCAAAAGTGCAAGGGAATATACTGGCATTGTGAATACTATATTTAGTCGGATGGTTCTGCACGCACTAGTAAAGGTTTTTGGTGGATGAGGCAGGCAAGACTGAACCAGTAGATATCAGCAACATCCGGCATCAGGAGAACCTAGAAAAAATAGTTCAGGGAGTGGCTTTCAGGACAAAGTAAAAAACCCCAAAAGCATCCCATCACAATTCAGGTGCAATGGAGAAGCAAGAATTTGCTTTTCCTTAATAAATGAAATGCAAGCAGGAAATATTTCAAAATATAACAAATTAAAGGCTCTCAACACAACTGTTTCATCAGTTTTGTGGATAACTTTACACTCAACTGGAAATTAAAGAGGCGTACCAATAGGAATGTAGCATTGTTACACCTTTACAAACACAGATCTGAAGTGTTTGCTTTTTGATATGTTTGGCCCAGCCTGCAGCACGAATTTTTCCACGTGAACGAGGTAGTTGGTGCATGTGCAATCTTACTATCAGGAAATGGCTGCATTAGTTGCCAATATAATCATAATATTGTTCTTAACCTGTAATACGGTTTAAAAAAATTCCTGTTGTTTTTCAAGCAGCATTTTATACACATTTCCTAAAAATCTTAGATGCTCTGTAATATCTCATCAGCACAGTTTTCTGTACATTTACATTAGATTGTGCCTGAAACTTAGGAATTATGCACAAAAGACCAAGTATGCAGCAACACAGAGCTAGCTAAAATTTTTCTGTGTTTTCCAGCCTCATCCTTTACAAATCACTAGCACCGTATAAGTTTGAGTGAGTAGATAGTGGTCTACAATGACATTTGTAGTTTATTTAAAATCTCTTTTGATGCAGTCATCTACTTTGACATGTTCTAGCTTGGTATAAATTATATAAGTTTTTATATATGTGTATTTACAGGTACTTTTATATCCATAAAGTGTTTTGTACAAATTTGAAACATCTTAAAGCAGTTTTTCAAGAAGGGGTCTGTACCATTCTATGGTACCTAATTTTTGGTTCCTGAATCTACACTTTCAAAATTATTTAGACTATTTAAATTTCTTTCAGAATACGATGCATTGGCCAAAGTTATTCAGCACCATCCAGACAGACATGAAACACTGAAGTAAGTATGTGACTACATTAAATAAGCCAGAGAGCTACAAGCCACCAGATTTGACATATCCTTCATTTCAGTTTGACCTTTCCTCACTTTTATATAATTTGTTTTGACACAAGAAGAACTTGGGGTTTGTTTTAAAATTGTGCCCCTATCAGCTTTCTTTAATTAACTTCCATCTGTAAGGAGTTCAGAAGCATTGCTGATTGTTTTGCTTTTGAAATTTTTCCGTTTGTTAAGGTGAAAAAGTGAACTCGTATAAATGCACCTCTAACATCAGGGATTTGAGTTGCTCAGAAGAGAGGGAGAGCGGGGTATTGCTGTAAAGTGCGCCAGCAAGCGATTCAGCAGTCACACAAAGTACATAACACACAAGCGAGGAGAATTGAGAGAAAGCAGGAGAAAGCTCTTAAGGGTTTATAGTTCATAGTTGTTCCCTCATGCCTGATTATAAGTTACTACGTTGTGTGCCACAGCAGAGCCTGCCCGGGCATGCAGGTTAGCCCTACCTCTTGTCCAACTCGTCTCACATGTAACTTAGGGTACGACCTGTGCCACTGTTGGATCGCTTTTTTTGCTTCAGGGTCATTTTGGGCAGTTGTGGACAGATAATCTTTTCAACTTTATCAAGCTAAAGAAACATTTCAGGATTCATTGCTTCTGTGAGTTTGTTCTTCTTAACTCGATTAAAGATGTAGCATAGGGTTGCTCTTCTCATTTAACTGCAACTTGCACCTATCTTGTTGCCCCCTGTTCCAGAAAAATTGCAGAGGGAGGCTGTCTTCTCGCATTTTGTGGCCTTTCATAACAAAAGGAAGATTTTTTTAAATTATATTGTTACTCTAGTTATAGCATTTTCATAGCTATAAACCACTGCAAATATTTCATACATTTCTTTCTTGTATGTTGTTTTTCTCTGCCTTGATTTCGTTACCGTAACTTTGATTATTAGAGGCTATTCTTATGAGGGTTGGCTGCTTCTTACTTCATTAGTCAGCACGTGCCATTTATCAAGCGAGGCTCCGTAGTAAGGAGTTATCACAAGTGAAGTTTTTTCAGATAAGTCAATTGATTAAGAATGAAAACACCTAAATGATAACACTTCTTTTCTTAGAGCGTGCCAGGTTGTTTAGGTTTGCAGAGGTTGTTATAATTTTGCTTAACACATCCAAGCGTAAGTTTCTTAAGCAAAACTAGAAATGGTGGTAACTTAGAGCTAGTAAATTTGGCATTTTGTCTTTTCATAAAAATGAATTTTGCAGTCTCTGTAGGATAATATATTACAGTTGGAAATATCAGTATGTTCACCCACGGAGAGTGCATGCCCTTTAGTCCTTAGTCCCTTCTATCTGTAGTCAAAGACGCAGACTTTAACTCTAGAGGACTACAATCCCCTGTTTTACAGATGGGGAATATTTTTAAAGAGAACTTGGTTCATAGATGTTTTTTTAGCTTTAACTGACCTCTCCAAGTGAATAGACTTTACAGAAACTAGATGACGTTTTCATCCAATGTCTTAATTGCAATGCTTCCTTTTCTCTCTAGTTTGAGGAAAGTGTATGGAAAATCACACCATGAACCAGGAAGGACCATTCTTAAATCAGAATTGAGGAAGCCTCACTAACAATGTCACACTTTTCATGGAACTCTTAATCACTAAAAACACTTGTCAAAACTTCTTGTGAGGGGAAATGTCATGGTTTACTGTGTGAGTTACATTTACAGCTTTCATAGGTCATGTAGCACAACAGGACAAAGTTCATAAAATCACTTTCTTTAAGCTTTTAAGGGAGTGTTTTTTGGAACAACTGGTCATACAGCCCAAAAGAAGAGTAGCTCTTCATCTGCTTAGCCATGGGTAATTGCACAGGAGCCAATTCAGGAAGTGACAGGAGCCAAACCACTAAATGACAGGGCCCAAAGTGTAATTACATGCAGTATCAGAACAGCTGTTAAGAGGACCAAGAGATGACACTGAATCTTAGAGAAGGAGATACAAAAATGAGAAGGCTAAGCAAAGACTCTCTGGAATGGCAGGTAAAAGTAGTAAAATGCCCTATGTAGTTTGTCTATTACTAGAAAAAAATTGCGTCTCTTCTCACAGCCTGCTTATGCCTGACAGCACGGTGTAAACAGCAGGATTTGGCCAAACAGCAGTCTTTTGGAAACTGGAAGCCAAATACTAGTGAAATCCCTGTACAAGCCTATAAGCAATTAGCCTATTTCCATGAGAGGAAGGGAGAATGTCACACCCTACCCTCTTTTAGGTATTCCCTTCACAGTACCCAGCATACTGGCTCAAAACAAGGCAACACCCTCAGGTAGTGCTAAACCAGACCTTTTCCCAGCCATCACAACTCCCTTAGGAGGCGGTTTGGTGGTTCCCTGCCCAGACAAGTTGCAGCAGCTGTCAGGGTTTCAGAAAAGGTTCATTTCTTTGCTGACCACTCTCTGGCTCTGTCTGCTGATTGATCGGGCATGGTCAGCCTCAGAAATCGATTGTTCTCGTTGCATGAAGCATAAATTATGGTAGGCAGTAGAGGAAAAGTAGAAAGTTCAGGTGCAAGAGTTGAACCTCCATCCTCGTTTGAAAGCTGACACGTTACAATACCTGTTATTCTTTGCCCTGCCTCAAAAAGGATTGTGGTGGTCCATGGTGGGTCCAAGTGAGAACAGAAAACAGTCACATGCTCACAGAAAGATCCTGAAAAGGTGTTTGAAGATAATGTGTTTCAAAAGGGTGTGAACAATAATTAAGATTATAGGCATTGCATGTTTCTTTTATCTCTTAATGCCCAAGGCAAATAATTAAAGTAGAAACCAATGTTTGAGAAGGAAATGAGTATTTATATGGATCACAATGTTAAATAGTGTGTGCTGAGGCATATTATGTTGCTGGTGCTATGTTTTTATTTAATCTAATCTTGTCAACATGAAGAAGTAGTGAAAGTAGAAGAAGTGCCATGGGTATTAAATGTAACCCACTTTAACTTTCATTGTATGGCCAAGTAAATAACATGTTTGTGGCAGGACTGAATTTTTACAGTCCAAATGCCCAGTGTACAACTGTATTTGAGCTTGGAGGCCTTGTTTTCTGTAAAAGTCCAAGTTTGTGACATAATTTAACATTTATGTCTCTGGGTTGTTTGATTTTTTATGCTTTGGTTGCCTACACTGTTTATTTAAAGGTTCTTTCTCTACTTGGTTCAGATCTATTTTGAAAAAAAATTACAGAACTCTTTAAAAATACTGTGACAATTTACTTTCAGGCAGCTAGAAGCTTTGGGAAAAGAACTGCAACATCTTTCTCACATTAAAGAAAATGTTGAAGATAAGGTAGGTTTTTCATAGAGGTTACTATGTAATTATTTATTGGGTACGTAATTAATGGAGAATCTGCTGTGGGTTATTTGGCTCTATGTGCTCTCTGTTTCCTAATGTACGTATTTTATCGTCCCAGCTGGAGCTGAGAAGAAAGCAGTTTCATGTTCTCCTGAGCACCATCCATGAACTTCAGCAAACCCTGGAAAGTAAGTGGTGTTCTTAGGTGATTCATGTGGCTGGGTTTCAGCAGACCCGAAGGAATCGCAGCCTCAGCAGAGGAATAGCTGGGTGCAACTGAGGTGGGCAACCTCTTGCATCAGCAGTGGGGTTTTTTCCCCAGTAGTAATCCAGAGCCGGAATGATTTCCTAACTAGCTTCAGATTAACCTGTAGGCAGTGGACTTCTTTAAAATATGGGAATGGAGAATAGCAATTGAGGTTATTTTTTTAAGCGAAAAAGGTATTTCTTACAGAAAATTATTCTTATGCGTAGTTTCCAAACTTAGTTGTATAATTCCCGTTTCGATAATCCTGAACTTTGAACACTGCCATTGCGGCATCGTTTGAGGCTTTACTAAAAAGAAGTTGTAATACAGGAAAGCTAAATGACTTACCTACTCAGTGAGTCTTTAACAGAGCAGGGACTAAAACTGTCAGACACAAGAGCTAAATTCACAAATTTAGTCATACTCATCTTTTGTTATAAAAATGCTTAGTATTTTCAAGTCAGCACTTACTTTTCATGCTCTAATATGAATAATAATTTTGTTTCAAATACATTATTTGCTGGACTTTTTCCATGTCTTTCCAAGACAGAGTAATTGGTATAGCCTTTGAGCATGACCTGGTTAACGTACAAGGATGGCTATAAGAGCAGACTTTCATTCTCTAAGGCCGTCTAGATCTTCTTAAGCCAAGTGAACTGTTAATCCTAGGGGCACTTTAGCAGAAGGTTATTGGTTTTTTGTGTAACTAACACTCACTTCAGCATTAGTCTCTAAAATACATTTTCACGTGAATGTATGGGTTACCTTTCAGCTTCTAGAATTTTACGAAGGCAGTAACATTTTAGTGGAAGGCACAACTTCAGTGTGAAATAAACCGCAACAGACAAAGAGAAGGCACTTAATTTGAAACAGTCCTGTACTGTTTGCTTGAATTGATATTATAGGCTTTACTACACGTCCTGTCATAGCTATTCAAGTAGCAGCCTTAAAAACTTTGAAGGATTGTTTTGTTTGAATGTAGCATTTTGTATAATGCTGTGTTCAAGGCGATCCATATAAAATAGTTAAATGGGACACAGCTCTGCAATGTAGTCTGTAAATATAACCAAACACGCTTGACTAACAGTAATATTGATTTTTAGATGATGAAAAACTTTCAGAAGCTGAAGAATCTCAAGAAACTCAGATGGAAACAGAGACCAAACAGTAGATGTAATATGAAGACTACTGACTCTACTAATGAAGAATATCGAGTGTCTTCACTTTGTATTGAAACCAACAGTGAGAGAGATGGAGCAAAAAAATAGTTTTCTACTGCTTCTGTGAATTTTTATACAAAAATACTTGTTTTGCTTATACACTGGGGGAAAACAGTTGTGTCTGTGCAGACAGGCACTTCTGTGCTAGTTCACAAACTCTAAATTGTTTTACAAAAGATGAAGCTTCTGCACAGTACTTGTGAGCTAAGGTGTTTGCAAAACACAGTCAATAAAAGGTGTTTACAAAAGATTTCCTGGTTTTAGTAGGCATTGAGCCTAACAGTAAGGGCTCTTTGTTTTTTCTTGACATTGGACTGAGGGCTGTGGATCTTTGCATGAGTCGCAGCTTCCATACCCTAGTCCAGATGGGACCTAAAATTAAACTAAGCAGGGTCTTAATTTTGTAAAGTAGATGCTGTTTTAGAACTTAACTGTGACTAGACTAGGATTTGCTAGTTTCATATAAAACAAATTATTCTATAGAATTAATGCTCATCAATTGGTGTAAAACAACAAAAACCATACTATAGTAGCTTTAGGTTTTTTCCTGAAGGTGATGCAAAGAACCACAGTGATGTGAGCCTCGCTGTGCTGTGTTCTGTGCAACCACATCAAAAGTCACATTTTGGAATGACATGCCTAAAACTGCAGTTGAAAAGCTTTCTTCTTGTAGAACCAGGAGTCTGATCCTGATACCATTTATGATCTGCTTTTGGGTTTGATCCGTCAGTAGACTATTGTGAAATACATCACAGTTCTGAAAGAGATGGTGGAATCCTTCCTTTCTCACGACAAACTGAAGCAGTAGAGTAGCAAGTGCGATGTTAAAGAACCTCAGATACTTTGATTCTTAAGAGGGAGAGTTCTATTCATATGGATCATCCTGCAGTCTGTCAGGAGGTAGGAAACACAGGTTTCAACCTTCCCAACACGAGAACTGGGGATGCTGTAAGCTTTTGTAAGGCAGGGAGAAAGGAACAAGAGGTCACGTCACTACCTGTCAGCTGTGTCCTAAAACACCTGTTAAATCAAGACGTTCAGTGGTTTGGGTAAAGGAAGACAGCTTGGATCCCACTCACACTGAGTCATAACCGTACGTGGATGAAGTAAGTACGGACATTACACAGAACAGAGCCTCCTGCTCCAACTGGGTGACAGCTAAGGGGGATTTCCAGGATTGTGACTTTGGACTTTATAAATGAAGTCTAAACGCCATATAGTTCCCACTCTCGGTGGCTGTGCATCTCTGTGCGCTGGGCTGAACAGGCACATCTGAGCTTGTTTTGCTCGCACTCCAAGTTTGCTAAAGGCAAGCCGGCTGAACGAGGAGCCACACCACTTGAGTAGCGCCGTGCAGCCCCGCACTAATAAGCTGTCAAAAGTCTGCTAGTTCACAGCTGGTCAGCTCAGAACACAGGGGAAGCTCAGGTTTGCCCGATAGAGCCTGTACAGACACGCAGTGCTTCTCACGCAGTTGAAGGTTTGCAGTCTGGGAGGGGGGTGGAATAAGCAAACAAAAGGGATTTAATATGAAAAATACAGTCAAAGTGTATTTACTGTTCTGTGTTTTCCCCTCCTAACAACGGTGAATAGTAAAATATTTTGTAAAGCAGCAATACTAAATCATTGCCAAACCAGGGAGGAGTCCCTTTCCTGACTGTATGAATTATGAAGATCATAAGTGACAAACTCTCAAGATACTTTTAAAGCATATTAACGTTTTTTGTGGTTGAAAGGCTCTCCACTGGCTGCCTGCATTGCGCTTTGGTGCAGAGGTGGATGATATTTATCTGCTAAAAACGGTCTCTCTAACAGCATTGTCACAAAAACCTCAAAAATTTTCCAGTCTTTGTTTTGCCCAGTACTTTAGAATTTTACTTGCATCACTCAGGTACCTAATCTTGAAACTTGCACCGCTCCATATAGAACCTGACCAGAAACACATTGGTGTGTGAGTCCATCCCTCTAGTAAGGAATACATAGGCAGAAACAAAGCTTGTGCAGAAGAGAAAGCAACACCAACACATGGCAAAGTGAGGAGTATCTTGTAGTTTGAATTACAGCGACGCGATCTTGAAAAGCAATTACCACCCTAGAAAAACTAAGTCACCCTAGCACAATATGGCAGCAGGAGGGTGATGTGACCACACACCACCTTGGAGAGCGGCCGAAAAAGAAAAGGTGACAGCGATTCCTTGTGAATGCAGCCTCGGTGGGACATGTGAAATCTTTGCTCGTATTTTTTTTGTGTTCATACTTCTCTCGAACCAAAAGAGAAACAAAACCCAACAAAACTAATACTTGGCATCGTTAACCTGCACCGTTATTAAGCGCCAAGTTCCAGGTTGAAACCTATTATGTATATGTTACAAATAGCTATCTGCACATTCTCTATTCTTCATTCTTTGTGTCGTGTTTCCACAGCACAAACGACAGTCATTGTTTTATCCCTGCTGGAAAGCTGTCCTGCTATGATGCTGCGTGCCTGCATTGACTCTGAACGTACACTTATAAAAATCTGTACATGTAGAAATTCAGGATCTCAACAAACACACTATCTAAATAAGAAATCTTTCCTGTTTCTTAGGATTTGCCTTGTCTCTCTACGAGCTGAAAATTTATTACATGCATAAAAGCTCCATCTTAATGACAGTGCCATGTGAATGCAAAAGTACAAGCAGAAAGATGCTGAAGCGATAAGCTGACATTTTCTATGCCCGGACTTGTTTTTCTGTCCTGTGCAGATGAGAGAGCAGGAGAGGGACTGTGGAACACTGGACAGAATTGGTAACTTCGACATCATTTTTCAAGCAGGATTTAGCAGTCTCCATAGAGGGGTGGAGGAAGGAGGAGAAAGAAGGTCATCGTAACACACTGCCAGGTGATGGATATCTCTGAAACCGTGGTAATTTGATGACAATGGCTGCCAGCAAAGAAAATTGTAAGAAAACACATCCCCAAGATTTACGAGATAGAAATTGTTAATTATTCTACATACTTTTCATGCAAGTTTTCCAGCTGTCGCAACTGACATGTACCATTCTTTCCCTTGCTACTTTTTCTTAGATCTTAGAAGGTTCTCCTTTTTTGTGATTTTTTTTTTTTAAAAAAAAAGAAAGAAAAGAAACTCAGAAATACAAACGAGTACTTTAGTTTTGCTCTGGGAACCTGTGTGATTTTTATTTTCTGGTGTTGCAGCACGAGGCTGCTCAGTTACGTGCCGAAGGCTCCTGGGGAAAGGGATGCAAGGGTGGGGAGTGGGCACATCCCTGCTGGCCGAACTCGCCATCCTCATGTCAAGAGGAGCTTCCCAGGTATTCAAGAGTAATCCTATAGACAGGGACGCCGTGTTGGCGGGGTCTTTGTCCAGGTTAGCAGGGAAGGCTTGAGGAGTCTTACACCTCTGTGCAGGGTGAAATGTTTCATAGGCGGAGGAGCTCTAGGTCTGTCCTGGCTAGGAGCAGAGCTGGCTGCGTTGGGCAGTCGCTGCTGCTGTTGCTGGCTGAATGGCAGGAGCTGGTATTAACCAAAGAACCCACGAGGAAGGAGCCCTGAAGCACGTTTGGGTTTTGACATTGGTTACCATTTGGGTTTTGCGTGGCTTTTGTCGGGGGCCGCGGGTTTGGGTTACACAAAGCACCGCACGCCTCGGGAGCCCTGGAGCTGCCAGCGAGGGGCGGCACTCACCTACATCACCCAGGGGTCGGGCCCTATCGGCTTCTTGACACCTCCGAACCTCGCACCCGGGACGATCCAGCGCGGCACCACCAGCTGCTGCTGCGGCGGCGGGAGGAGACGGGACACCAAGGTGTCCCCCCGCGCTGGCATAAAACCGAGTCCAAATTCTCTCCTTTCCATTAGCAGCGACTCCAGGCTCCCGCTTAACGCACCTT